TCCGGTTTTGATATCTCGTGATCTGGACATGCTAGGGTCACGAATTTTGGATGGCAGATAGCTCTTGGGATAGGGAAGAAGTGACATGAGTTTGGGTCCCCTAGCGGCTTGTTCTGGAACTGCAGGAGCATTTGTTGAAAAATTTTCGAAGGAGGATAACTCAAGAACCGGTTGACGGATTGTCGTGATTTTTGGTATGTAGGTAGTTGAAGTGATGCTTGACATAATCAGATGGCAATTATGCAAATCAGGAGCTAATTTGCATAATTAATGAGGAAATTCTATAAATCTGCTTTGTTCGATGATAGAACTATGAAACACTTCTGACATCTACTTGAGAACGAGATAAAACATCTGAGGATATAGATTATGTAAATGAGGACCTAATTTGCATAATTTTGGCAAATTTTTATAATTTCATAGTTGTAACTATTGGGAATTTCATACTTGCCACAGTTGGAATGTAAGTGAAGCTGAACATCAATAAACATAATTTATTTAAATCATGACCTCATTTGCATAATTTATGAGGCAGTGCTATAATATCCTTTTTGTTAAGATAAGGCTGTCATTGGGTGGAGAATATGATCAACTGATATAATCCATGCAAATGAGGCGCTTATTTACAAAATCAATTATTAAAATTGTATAATGAATTCATCACCCGCAAGAGTTAACATCATTTGGCGAAGGTATGAGATCGTGGAACTCTTGTTTGAAGTATTTTTCAGTCCTTATAATAATCTTTTGCTGAAAATTCCGGTTTTGTCAGCAATTTTTTTTGAGTACATGTAAATGTGGAGAATCAACATACATGTATGTAGACTGATTGACATTTCTTCAATAAGGGATGTAATTGAAAAATTCTGAATTTTTTTTACCACACAGGAACAGAATATTTGATTCTAATTTTTTTTTTAATATCGAATCTTTCACAACATCACAAATGTTGCAAGGACATCACCCCGATGTATCCACAAAAACACATTAAAGGTAATGATGTACGAAATACACTTTGATTAACTCACTAATGCGCTGGCCCAACTGATTTATAATAGAATGTGCATGGAATATTCAACACTGTGACATTATTTGCTGAAGGTTGGCACCCAGAGCACAAAGTACAGTGAACTGGAAGACATTGACATGCTACTGTTCACCTTCGTTCATCTATCAAGTCTTCTATTGGTAGTATATAATTATGGAATATTTATTCAAAGGTCAAATTCAACCCAGAATGATGTCTGCATCTTTGGCTTTCAGAGTTAGTTAATATACATGTATGTAGTAGCGCTAGCAGTCATCAAGTGACTTAGTTGTATAACATTATTCTTCTAGTTCTATATCTTGTATCATTCTGACTAACTGTACAGTCACAAAGTATATGGTACAATCAAATTAGATAATCTATATATTTATAAATTAACGAGGAGACAGAATGGGAACCAGATTAACAACACACATAGGAAGTATGACTCTGGGCCATGTACTCTGAGGTACAAGCATTGGATGGAAAATTTTTTCACAAATCAAAATGCAGATAAAGCATGAAGAAATATCATTAACTTTTTTTTTCATTCCCAAAGCTGTGTATAATGGGTATGAAACATTTGAAGGTTTCTATACTGTTTGATTTTAAATGTTTTGTTTGATTACAATAAATAAATTGTAATTTGCAAATTCCTAGGTGGAAAAGCTTTGACATATGTACCATACCCATATACAATTTACAGACAAACCTGTGACTACAGTGTACACTTCTTAACACTTCTTGGTGATCCCTTAATAATAATTGGATAATTTTCCAATTGACACAAGCATTGAGAATCCTGTCTGTAATAACCCTCTGAGTTGTCTTATTGTGCAGTTTTGACTGTATGTAGGTAGGGGTAACTAACTGTGTATCTAAGGTTATAGGTCAGGTGACAATGAAGTGTAATGCTCAAAGCCAGGTGTATGTTCATGCATTTTTAACCATCAGATTAGCTAGCATTTGAGTATATCGTTTGAAAAATGTGTCCAATTTCAAACATGACATTTACAGCATGGACAATATTTACATAAAATTTTATACTCTCACTCACTGATGCACAAACACATAAATGTATACATCAAAATATTTCTCTGGCTCATTGCTAGCAAAACATGTCATACCTTATTTGAATGATTTATTGTATGTATCTTTGGGCAACAAACACAACAGTTTCTTACCTGTAATATGTGACATGTCCACAAGGTTACTTGTTTATTTCAGCTATCATGTTACCTGTGTACAATATACATGTACCTGAGCACTTCCTTGTAGCCATTAGGAGTTTGATTGACAGGTATTTTTGAACTTCCTTATTGTAGCAGTTGTATTACTAAACGTGCATGTACTGGATAGAAGATGTGTGCTTGACACTACCATCTAAATTTGACACACCTGGTTCTCAAAGGTATATGTATTACCCATATCTTATTGCTATGGGTGCTTAATTTACAAGTGTCTGCATTCTTACAGGTTGATGGTCTGTCTGGAGTAGATAAACTGTATTCACTGGACACTCAGACACTGGTGCTTATCGATTCCGGGCCATCTCTGGCTGTTTAACATCATAATGCACATCAGGTAGTTGCAGTTAAAAGCATGTACCACTAGTACCACCTATACATGTAACAGCCTTTTATTGACTCAGACAGTCGCTGACAAAATGGATTCCCAAGTTCATCTGCACACAGAGGATTTGTGCAGTTATTTCACACCTACAGGTTGAAAGTTTATATGTGGAGAACATGTTTTCCTTTACTGGATAGGTAATAAAAGGCCAGAAACATTTTAAATATCCTTCAGCAGTGGTTTTCTACATATTGCAGTCACACTGTGGCTGTGCATTTTTGTGGTTTTACTTATTACAAAAACTTCACAACCATTTTGGTGAATTATTTGACAAAGACGAAAGTGTGGGTCAAAGACAATACAGCATTTGTTTG